GTTTGTTTCAACACAAACTAGCCTTTAAGACTTTCAGTCAAACACACAAAAAGCTACACATAGATTTTTCAAAACTGACTTTAAACACCAATTGAAATGACCAAATTTGGATGACTAGAGCAGTGGCTTTATATATCGGATCATTTCACATCAGATGAATTGTTCCTTTTTTTGACTTACATGTTTTCATATGAACTTTGAATAAATTTTTAAAAACCCCTCCTCATATGGGTCTCTATATACACATATGGAGCTGAGGTTTACTATAGTTATCATATTAATCAGAACTGATTTCACTGGAACTATAGAACTATTAATCTATACATCTGTATATAAATACTTATATATAGAAATTGGGATGTAATGTTTGTTTGTTGATTATTTACCCATAAACTATTAATTTATTTTTATTTACTCTTAATATAATCTTATTAGACGATACAGAAAGATTTTAGATTAGGTTTGATTTAGATAGATGTTACTGGTATGATAAAATAAATCATTCTTACATATAGTTCCAATTAAAATAATAACAAAAATTATGATTGAAGGATCACATATGTTATTAAAAATGATACATCAAAAAATATTTATTGAAAGATATATAACTAAAAATGGAATAAAGATAGATGTAGGCGAATAAAAATTTGATGAACAACGCAATGAACATTTAAAAACAAAAATAGTTCGATTAACAACAAACTGAATTATTGAATTGTGATTTAACATTATTGGTATAAAATAAAATTATTTACTTATGGCATTTTCGATTTGGGTAATTTTTCCAATCGAGATGCATTTTTAATGCACTTTTAGTACAATTTTCATTTTCGATTTGTAAATCTGGACCAAAATATATAACGCTCGAGATTAATTTATAACACTCTAAATATCTTGCCAGAGTAATAAGAGTACTCTGAAGTTAACAGCTGTTAATGTTATATGATTTGACAGATAAACTGTGATTTGATATATATATGTATTTGTGAAACATATTAATGTCTACTAACACGAACAAAAAATGTTAGGTTACTCTAAAAATGTAAAATTTGACAAATCGAGAGTAAATCTAGATTAAATTCAGATTTAGATTGAACCGAAAATGTTATTAGTATGCTATTAACATTCAACTATACACAAATCTCATTCATCAGATAGTTTTTTATTTATGTATATATATATTTTTTTTTTGTTACATTTAAACAAAATGTAGAGTTGAAATTAACAACTAGTCCTATGGACTAACAGGAGGTTTTTTAAACAGGAGGGTTTTTAAGATAGTTTTTTATTTAAGAACTTAAAAATTTATTCTAATAAGAAAACTCTATTTCGTATATGTGCGATTAAATGTGTGATTAAAAGATTTGAAGGTTTCGGCTAAGCTTAAGTTACATTTTTGACTCGTTCTAAATTAAATTCGCTACCCACTTTACGCATAATCAATAAAGCTTATAGAAGACATTAAATAGTTTTAAAACATTTTTATTTATGTAGCAATAATCCATTGCACTAAGACATAAAACATTTAATGCAGTGCAAATCCATTTGAAATGTAAAGAAAAAATTGCTCTCAAAGCCGATGCAGATTTCAGTCTCAAATAATGAATAAACTTGAGCTTAGATTTGTGTAGTCATTCTGGAAATGAACGAAACATGTTCAATTAACTTGCAAAATATCTTACCTTAATTACGAATCGTAGAATTGTGAGGAGAATATGTAACTTGTTGTGGAGAAGTATCGAAAGATCGACACACACGCATTTATAAATATATCCTCTATCCGAAGTGTTCGTATGTAGGCAGACTTCTTTGAAGATCCACAACTTCAAGCGTACAGACCATGAAGCGTAATGACAGACTGGTTGAACTGCGGATCTAATAATAGCACTGGATGGATATTGTGAAGAATGAATTCGTTTTGCTTTTCCACTTTTTACTTTAACATTTTTTTTTATTATCTGAAAAAGCGAATATGAATGCGCACTAAGTAAACAACACAGCACAGCACAGCACAAGACGATTTATTTTTATTTACTATTTACTATTTATGTACTATTTACATACGTATTTAGGTATAGCAAGCAATTGTACATAAATTCTTCAACTTTCGAAACGAATTTTTTTTACGTGGTTACACAAATTCCGTACTTCAAAAAATTTTGTTCACATCATCAATTTATTACGTCACAACTTCAATTTCAGCAACGAATCGACGAATCAACAAATTAATTTGTTATTTGTATTCGGAAAATATACATATCTTTTATTTTTTGTAAACAATCGCTCCATATAAAGCACAAGCCACCACAAACACTTCAATCAACAATAGTGTTGGCATGAAAAGATACATTAACACACATGCATAAAATTTAATCTTCACTTCTTGGGATTGGGATTGGGATGCATGCATTTGTACAACTCTTCAGTGTCGTAGAGACTATTTAATTCGCATTAGGAAAACTTTTTAAATCCAAAAAAAAAAAACATATTACTGCGACGACATCAATTAACGCAAAAAACTTAAAAACCGCAAGCATACATCAAACAACTGGAAAAAGCAAATGTAATTATTTAGCATCGTCTTGAGAAGATATCAGATAAATTGCTCCTCAAATGCACTGCGAAGAGATCATGCCAATGTTTACATACAAATCCAATACATAATTACGATGAATTGCACGGAGAGAAAATGCACTGTGTATTCTTGAAAATAGAAACGGCAGACACTGCTTACCATGCAATCGCTTGTAATTACACTCAGTTGCGAAACCGAAAACAAAAACACGGTACTCACATATAAACAAAAACCCGTTTACGAAAACAACTCGACGAAAACACCGCGAACAATCTTTACACATTCACAATACGCGTTCGACTGAAAACAGAGAAAATGTACGCTCAATCCCGCACACAAATTGTCTCCAACGAAATCGATCGACGGAGAAGTTGGATTACACAAAGCAAGAAGCTTTTGAACTATTTCTGTGTTATAATTCATGGCTACGTTTCATCGTGGAAATGGAACAGACAAATTTAAAACCAGAGAATACTTTTTTTTCGTTTAAAATTACTAAACATGTTTTATTCATCGGTGTGAACAGCACTTAAGGCTAAATATTGAATTCACACAAGAGTTTTGATTGTAATTTTAAGAGTTGTGTTTGTAACTTAAATGATATCTGAAATATCTGAAATCGAAAAGCAAAAATAACGATTCACACGTTCATATCATTGTAATTTGATTGTCAGATATATCTTATGTCTACACTTTTTAACTACTTTCATAAACACATAAATCAGCGCATCAGCTGATTTCGAGCTACAGATGTAAATCTTCTCTTAATATGTTTCCTTCGTCGGTCTGAACTTATTAAGTTTATTTAACCAGTTTTAAATTCTAAGGTATATTTGAAATTGCAAATATATTGTTTTTTTCAAATGGTAGCCGGAGCAAAAGCATTTTTCAACTTATTATTGCTAATTTATATGATCGGAATCTATATTTACAAGTCACACCATTTCAATGTCCCGATCTAGAAATTGATATTAAATGAAAATGAACACCTTCGAAAAATAATGACATTTGAATTTATTATTAGTCGACTCCAGCTCTAATGTGGTATACGACAGTTAATAAAAACAATGAGATAATATCTGTTTGGACTGTCTTATTATTTTCAACTTAAGAAAATACCTGTTATAGACCCATTATGGTTTAATTAAACACAATAGCGGTATTGACGTTTTCGCGTAACGAACTCGGTAATGCAATAACATATTATACTAACAGTGCAAAATGGCCATAAAAAAATATATTTCGAGTATAGTATATGTATTTTCTTGTAGACACTTTGCTCTGTTACCATGTTATTCGATTATCGAGCTCGTTAGTCAAGATTATGAATGCCCCTTTTAAAAAATTCAATATAAAATTTTTTGTTAGACCTTATACAGTTATAGTACAACAGTATGTTCAGTTTGCATAGACCTTATGATTGCAGTGAGCGCAAGGTCGAAAATCGTATAAGGAAAGTATATATTTGATAAGCTTTGTTAGATAATTTAATCTGATGATGATCATCTGTATAAATCTGATTTTTTTTAACTCAAGTTAGTGTCTTAGTTTTGAAATAAATTAAAAATGTCATTTACAAACTTCTTTTGAAGGCCCTAAATCACAAAAATGACTTACAGTTTAAACAGGTCTTTATGATTTAGTTATGTTGATATGTTTGATTTGAAACATATGGATACTATTCGATACACTATTGAAAATATGACTTAATCGGTTGAGATTTAAATATAGCTACCATCATTCAAAAACCAGTAACGGAAAAATTGCTGATGTGAAATCTAATAACCTAGATCTACTAGGGAAGCTTAAATAAAATTAAACCAAATATTTTAGGAATATTCAACGATCGATAAAGTTAAATATGAAGGATTTATACATATATAAGATGATTGAAACATTGCTATATAATTATTGAAAACGACTCTTATTTACAATAACGTGTATGTATATGCATAGTAACATATCGAGAAGTACTCCTTAATTCTTTATAACTTATGTTCTATAATCATCAACTGTGATATTTTAATATAACAAGAAGCAATGGACAAACTAGGTTAGGTTAGGTTCGGAAGGCGCGTCCACTCGGAGGCATATATTGTCCATTGTAATGTCCTCAAAAATTTTTGACGGGAGAGGCGAGTTACTAACCTTTGTATGGACGAAGTAAGCAATTGAACAAAATACTTTAAAATAAAACCTAAATAATTGAAAAAGTCAGTGAACTCCAGAAATATAGCTATGGAGTCACATAACTATTTTTGGAATCAGTCAGATATCGTGGACTTTACATTGATCTTAATTGAATTGGAAACGTGTATTATAGACAAAGCCGAACAATTCTATATTTCAATAGATAAATATATAACATTAATCATCCGTTCTAAAAAACTTAACAGATAATCCAACTAATATGGATCTAAGATTGCTAACGTTGATGGTCTATTAAATATTAACAATTTATGTAATTATTATTCAAAGGAAACAAAACAAAATTGTACATTCCATTAGAACTACACAATAATTAAAAAACCAATCTGTTAATGTTATCATATTGCAGAATGTCATACCATATATTATAAATGTAGATTACTTCATCTTAGCAAACTAATAACGACGCATTTGAACTTAAAAATAGAGACTCGTATCTGGTCAAAAAACTTAATCACACGATTTATAGACCCTTGCACTTCTTAGTTGGTGTCATAGTTAATCACTTTTATAAATAGTAATTAATTTATTTATATATAGTAATAAAAATAATAGAAAAATTTTTATTTATTTTTATATATTTTTATATATATTTTTTTATTTATAATTATTGTTCTAATTTGAATGAATCCAGAAATAATTTTTTTTGAAACTATGAAAAACAGTCGTAGTTCTAACGTAGGACGTTTAACATTGTTTAATAAATAGAAAAATAACTATTTAAACTGTGTAGCTAATAATTATAGACAATAATTACTTTATCACTGAAAACACCAAGAAAGAGCGACCTCATGTATGCTATATAAGTTCAGTATCCTGATAACACACACACACAATAGTCTAAAAATAATTATTTATTACACAATTGTATCTTAAATTCATAAATAAAAATTTATTTTTCATAAAATAAGATGCAATATACTATATTGTACGATACTATTATATATTGAATAGTATCTACAAACATTATCAATGGGTCACAGTTAA